TCCATTGTATATAAATGCCTCATTTTTTTTACCCATTCATCCACTGAAGGACATCTAGATTGGCTCCACAGTTTAGCTATTGTGAATTGGGCTGCCATAAACATTAATGTGACTGTGTTCCTGTAGTATGCTGTTTTTAAGGGTTTTTTTGTTGTTGTAGATGGACACAATTTCTTTCTTTCTTTCTTTATTAATTATGTGGTGCTGAGGATCGAACCCAGTGCCTCATAAGTGCCAGGCAGGCGCTCTACCAATGAGCCACAGCCCCAACCCCTGTATTCATTTATTTTACTACTTATTAAGTGCATAATGTGTATACATTATCCCATTTAATCTTCATAGGGCCTAGGATATAGATATCGTCAACTGAACTTTTTTAATTGAGGAAACTAAGAATCAGAGATCCTAAGACAAACTAAAGAGAACCATAACTATGATTTTATCTGATTCCAAACTCTGCTTTTCCCATATACTGTGTAGCTCCAGGTTCTACCAAAGCTTCTTTAGAGATAAATACATTTTGGTTGTTACAGGAGGCTCACGGGACCCCAAATAAGAGTGGTGTCACAACAGAGTGTGGAAAGGCAGGTCCTAGTCTTCTCTCCCCTTTGTGTAAGTGCCATGGCAGGACATAGTCTCCCTGAAATCAGGAACCACTGATGTGTGCACAGAGTGCTTTATAATAAGCCAAACATACAGTATCAGCTAGGATTTTGAAATATTTTGTTGTTTATGCAGACATGTTTCTGCTAAGTAAATTGCTTCAACAGCAGAGCCCTCTGGTGGGGAATCTCACTAAGAGCAGAACAAAAATTTTCAGACCCATGTTTACAAAGCAGAACCATTCATCTGTATTTGTCATTCCTTGACCACAGAACAGTGTAGTGTACGTATATTTTTTATTTTAGGAAGACAGCTCACACTAATTCCAGGGTCACTAATGGCTAGGAATATTCCATGAATGACTACTAAGAGGATAAAATAAATTGAAAGTGTCTATGGATTGTTATCTACCTCTGATGACACTTTCTAAATGAAGTTAACATATGACAAAGATTTCCTACTGTTGGCCTAAATTGTATCACTGTATAGCATAGCTCAGCCCTGTGAGGACTGAAGTCCATCTTGCCCAGTGCACTGAGTTTAAGTTTATAGGGTCTGCCCAGTGCTCTGTTCATAACTTGTAACTCTTGTAATTATACACATTGCTTTCTTGGTCCCATTCACAATTTTACTACCTTGAAGAGCTCTAATTCCTATCTAGACCTGTCTTTTGAACTTGATTCATATTTTCAAGTATTCTCTAAATATTTCCACTTATTATTATAGGTACCTGGAACTCAACTTACACAAAGTTGAACTCTTCTCATATATCCAAAGCTTTGCCCAGCTCAGTAAATGGCACTGACCTCTCCATCCATTTGTCCTAAGTCCAGAAGTCATTTTTAGCCACCCTTTTCTATCGTCACCCATTGTATCCTATTCATTCTTTCTCCTAAATAGGTCTCAGATATAACTTCTTAATTGGGGCTGGGGATGTGGCTCAAGCGGTAGCGCGCTCGCCTGGCATGCGTGCGGCCCAGGTTCGATCCTCAGCACCACATACAAACAAAGATGTTGTGTCCGCCAAAAACTGAAAAATAAATATTGAAGAATTCTCTCTCTCACTCTCTCTCTCTCTTTAAAAAAAAAAACTTCTTAATTACACCATTCCTAGTTTGGTTCTTTAACATAACAGAGATTTTTATGTGGAGAAAGGAATGTGCATGCTATTTATGTTGTAATTCGAATTTATTAAGCATACCTATTAATTTTTAAGGTAATTTTTTTCTAATAATTATACAGTTGCTTTAAACATTTAAATGACATTTACTAACTACTAGGGCTGATTATTTTGAATATGTTCAAACACTTTATAAACAAAATACAAATACATTAATTATGAAACATATTTAAGCTTATTATGTTAAGACGTTTTCATGATGGGTTTCATTTCCTCTCTGTTCTTTTACCTTCATAAGATTTTGCTGTTGCTTTCTTAGTATTATAGCAATCACACAAAACACTAAATTAGAAAATGATCAGAAGGGCCTTGGGACCTGGTTTCTTTTCCCAAATTTTGCCAAACCTAAGCCACTGGTCATCAGAACATGTGCCTTTTTATTGTTAAACATTACTTGATTTTTAAAATCTATACCTTTTCCTTTTATTTTAATTTTACTTTTTTTTTTTTTGTAGTGCTAGAGTTCAAGCCTAGGGTCTCACTCATGCTAGGTAAGCACTCTACCTTTGAAATACACTTCAGCCTGTAACCTGATTCCTTAGTAAAGTAATGTTTCTTAAATTGATGGTGCTGGTTGCATTGGCACACACCTATAATCTCAGCTACTCAGGAGCTTGAGGCAGATGGATTACAACTTCAGGAGAGTCAGAGCAATTTTGCAAGACCCTATCTCAAAATAAAATAAAAGGACTGGGGATGTACTCAGTGGTAGAGCACTTGCCTAGCATATAGGAAGCCCTGAGTTGAATCCCCACTGTCACAAAATGAATAAATAAATTAAGTTAATTGATGGCATGTATTTTGACATATGTGATTATAGTCGTCCATTTTATCCATGAATGCTTGGTTCTAAAACTCCCTTTGATACTAAAACCTGCAGATCCTCAAGGCCTTTATATAAAATGGCATAGTATTTGTATAAAACCTACTTTCTTCTTCCTATATACCTTAAAGCATCTCTAGATTACTTATGTTACTTAATAGAATATACTGTATCAAATAGTTGTTATAAAAGTCTGTACCTGCTCAGTACAGATTTTTTTCTTTTTTCTTTTCTTTTTTTTTTTGCAGTGGTTGAATCTAGGATGCAGACCCCATAGATTTTGAGGGCTAACTATATTTGCAATGACTTTAAATAATTTGATTTAATCACCCCGAATATAGCAAGTACCACTTTGAGTTACTCATTGTAGAATGTTTGCCTAGCACATCATGCAAGGCCCTAGGTTCAATCCCCAGTACTGGGAAAAAGAAAAAGAAAGTATTCCTTTGTTTTCATTTTTTAACTTTTAAAATAATTTCTAAAATTTTGAAAATTTTCAAATATACACAAGATTTCTACCACCCAGACCCATATAATGCCAACATTTTCTATCTTTGTTTCAAACCATTTTACCTTGCTTGTTTTTATGTGTGTTTTGGGGGAGAGGGGGTTGTGTGTATCTTAGTTATACTTTCCAACGTCACAGTTTCTAATTTTTCTCTTTATTGCTATTCTTTATTTAGTAAGATATCATTCTCATGCTTTCCTTTAGTTTTTTGAACGTTTTAAATTTCTACCTATGTTTCATGATGTGTCAACTTTGGAAATCCACCCCCCCACCATCAGTGTTTGTTGTTATTACTTATTGTTTGTTTAGTTACTTTTTCTGAGCTGATTCAATAAAGTACATCTTCTTTTATAGGTGTTGCTGAAGTCTCTGCTTGGTTAGATGATGATTTGTTCAGAGATTTCCTTAAATGCTTACAAACAATAAGTCCCCCAGTCTTTGTCAAGGAACTCTGTGCATTGGGTCAAGTGGTCAAGCAAGCAGTTTGCAAATCTGCATTAGGTCTCACTTCCTCCTTGCACAGAGCCACCAACTCAGCCATAGATGAGAGCTTAGGGCCTTTTTAGGTCTTTCCTGAGCTTATATACAGCCCTATACATTCACATATCTCAGATTCCAAGGAGTGTGTCAGAGCTTTTCAAACCCTCCTATGGACATCTCAGTTCCCAACTTTTCATTTTAAGGTTTGTGGTCTGTTTGTTGCTTGCCTCAGTTTTGTTTTTTTTTAAGTGATTCCTCATTTTTTTAAAGTATTTATTTTTTTAGGTGGACACAATATCTTTATTTCATTTTTATGTGGTGCTGAGAATTTAACCCAGTGCCCCACGCATGCTAGGCGAGCATGCTACCACTTTAGCCACATCCCCAGCCCTTGGTTGTCTCGGTTTAACTATGATGCTAAATATTTGCTTAAAACAACTGTTCTTGAAAACCATTCTCAGGAAAAGAAGGCTTCTCATATGCTAGACAAGTGCTGTACTACTGATTTCACTGGGCCAATATGATTTTTCATGCACTGTTAGATCGAATAATAACAGTCTCTAAGATGGGGCTTTGGAGGAGCAAAGCTCCCCAATGTCCTCTTCCAAGGCTGTTAAGCTGCTGATTTGCACCATGATTGTGGAACTCTTGGTTTTCTGGGCTATATGGAGGATCTAAGCTGGGGAAAGAAGGATGGAAACAATACAAATTAAAATGCCAAAAGTTCATTTTCCAAGCTGACTAGAGCCTTTATTCTTATCAAGATTCTGCCATTTTTTCTTGAATAAACACTTCCCAGATTATTGCAAGCCTTTGGTTAAATTTGAGAATGCTAAGAAAGTATTGTTACAATTTTGCCAACATTCTTATTGCTTTTATAGGAGACAGGATTTTCAGAGGTTCTCAGTCCACCATTCCCACAAGGACATCCTACAGAGAAGCAAGAGACATGTACTTAACAGAAAAAAGTACTCAATACATCAGTGCTCTCCTACTTACTAAAATTAATTTAAAATTAACAATTAGCTAGGTGCAGTGGTACATATGTGTCATTCCAGCTACTTATGATCTTAGTCTAGGAGATTAAGGCAGGAGGATCACAAATTCAAGGCCAGACTGGGTTACTTTGGTAGACCCTGTCTCCAAATAAAATAAAAAGGGCTGGGGATGTAGTTCAGTGGTGGAGCCACTTGCCTAGCTTGAGCAGTGCCTTAGTTCAGTCCCAGGATGGCAAAAAAAATGTTACTCTTTTATGCTTATTTGTATTGTATTTGTTTGCATATCATTAAGAATTCGTAGCATTTCAAAAGCATTTTATTTTAATTATAAGTTATTTTCTTATTTGAGTTTCAAGGTATTCATAGCTGGAAATAATGGATTGATTTCCTTTAAACTGGCTCTTCTGTACTTTCAACATTGTCTCTAACATTCTTGAAAGCATTCTTGCTTGGCAGCAGCAGACTTCTATTCTGGATACAACTTGATTTATTTTCCCTACCCCACAATGTGAAATCAGCAGCTCTCTCAAGAGCTTGATCCTTTTACTAGCATTAGAATAGTATTACAGACCAAAATCTGATTGCTAATGAGGCCTATAATTATTGGACAGAAGTGCTACTGTTACTATTACTATTAATACAAAATAATCTAAAATATTTAGAGATACAAATTGGTAAGTTTTCACATATGACATATGTGTACACCCTTGAAATCATCACTGCTAAATATTTTTATTCTTTCTTTTTTTTTTTTTTGGTGATGCTGGGGATTAAACCCAGGGAAGACCTTGTAAATGCTCGCTCGGCAGGTGATCCTAGGTACATCCCTAGCTGCTGGATACTTTTTTTTTTAATTTGTAATGTTTATTTTTCAGTTTTTGGCAGACACAACATCTTTGTTTGTATGTGGTGCTGAGGATCGAACTCCATGCTGCACGCATGCCAGGCGAGCACGCTACTGCTTGAGCCACATCCCCAGCCCTGCTGGATACTTTTTAAATAATCAGTTTAGGATGACACGTGAAATCTCATGTGTGTGGCGGAGGGTGGTACTGGGGATTGAACCTAGGGTCACTACCACTAAGCTACATCCCCAGCCCTTATTATTTTTCATTTGAGACAGATCTCACTAAGTTTACCTCAAACTTATGATTCTTCTGCCTCAGCCTTCCTAGTTGCTGAGATTACAGGCATGGCCACCATGACTGGTCAAAATGTATTTTCATTCTTCGTCAGAGCTGATTAATTGTGGGTTCTACTAATTATTCTTGGCCAAATAGCCTAGTCTCCTTAGGAAGTACCTCAGCAAGACCTTTCTGTCCTCAATGTGCATTTACCAGTGTACCAGATTCCATAGATGAAGATGAAGATAGGGTTTATCTGTGGGTTTTTTTCCTTCCTGGCTCACAATAAGTTATGTATCTGACAGCTTGGTAGTTGTTATAAAAGGCTGGTTCTCTAAGCTTTGTCACCTATTCGAGCCTCTGTGTTTTTTTATTTTGTATACCAATATCATCTTCCTGTTTACTTTTTCCATAGATCGATTTGGGATGTTACCATTAGATGAGCCTGCTGTTCTTATTAGTGAATTCCTAGATCGTTTTCAAAACCTTTGTCACTTGGACCTCCAGCTTCCTTCCCTGAGGCCAGAGGACTTGAAAACTATGGTGAGTTTTTCTTGGCTAGGTTGTAGTGACCTCCACTTGTCATCAGCATTTGTATATGAAATAATTCTTTTAATGACAAAATGGTGCAGATTGTTAGGAAGAGAACAACTCATTCATTTCTCATCTGATCTTTTCGATTTCAACCAAAAAGTGACTATTGAGGGTTGAAGCAAATAGGTTCCACTTAAATGTTTAGGTATGATTCTTGAAGTGGCAAATTTAATTTTATTTTGATTAGTTACTTATATTGTTTAACAGAAGACACTGACATGTGACTGCATATCATTTTTTGCATATAATTTTCCATAGTGATAGAGGCCAAGTAATAAACTCTTCCTGTGAATAGAAGTGTTGAAATACTCTGGCCCATCTGTACTTTGAAATTGCATATTTACTATCCCATTTCATTAGCCTGTTAGTGCTGTGAGGAAAAGCTATATTATAGGAAATAGCAGCTTATTTTAGTCATCTATTACACTACTGTGACTAAAGGACCCAAACCAGAAGAACTATAGAGGAGGAAAAGTTTATTTGAAGTGCTCACAATTTCAGAGGCCTCAGTCTATAGATAGCTGGCTCCATTCCTCAGGGCTCGAGTGAGACTGAACATCATGGTGGAAGACAGTGTGGCAGAGGGAACCAGCTCACGTGATGATCAGGAAGCAAAGAGGGAGAGACTCCTCTGCAGATACAAAATACATACCCCTTAGCCATGACCCCATAAATTATTTCCTCCAACCACACCCCACCCATATCCAGTCATCACTCAGTTAATCCCATCAGGGATTAATTAACTGATCGGGTTAAGGTTATGACCCAATCAGTTCTCTTTCATTGTCTCACACATGAGCTTTTGGGGGACACCTTAGCAACCCAGTAAGACCCTGTCTCAAAATTTAAAAAAAAATGTGGCTCACTGGCAGACCACCTCTGGGTTCAATCCCTAGGACCATAGGGGAAAAATAAAGCTGCTGTGTGATTCCTAGCCCTGCCTAAAATAAATCTTCTCTATGAGGTCAGTCTCATCATATTTGTCATTTTTTTCCCCTGATTTTTGCCTTGTACCATATAAGTACATCATATGAATAATTTTTCTTTGTATAATGGTAGAAACTTGAAGGTTTTTTATCTTGGTTCCTTTGTAGTGCTTGACAGAAGACAAGATCAGTCTTCTGTTACACCTGCTTGAAGATGAACTTGATCACCGAACTGAAGAGAGAAAAACTCCAAGCAAGTTAGGCTCCGACATCCAAGTCCACATCACTGCTTGTGTTCTCTCTCTGTGTGGCTGGGCATGTAGGTCAGTCAGCAAATTTTGCCTGAGGGCATAAGCTGTGATGATGCATACACCCATATGTATATCATTCACTTATAGTATTTGGAAATCACATGATGTTTCCAGTGAGAAAACAGAAACAAAGAGAAAAGTGAGGGGAGGAGTGGGATGGGTGCAGGATAGATAATAAGAATTAGTAACAAAGAGAATTAGAACTTGGGGATTCCTTGTGTTCACACTTGAACTTTGTTTCTTGTATTGTAACTATCTAGGTATATTCCTATAAGCAGTGAAGCTCCTTTTTGAAAATAGAAAATAAGCTATTTTTAGAAAGAAAAATCAGTGTAATTGAGTAAAAACTACCAGAGATTGGTGGGGGATGCAAGTATGACCAGATAGAGCACTTTCCTAGCATGTGCAAAAAGCCCTGGGTTCAATCCCCAGCATCCCCTAAAATTTCGGAAACACCAGTTGGTATCCCCTTGCCCTACGCTGATGTGCTTTTTTTTTTTTTAACTGTTCAGTTTGGCAGAGACTACCTCTGAGATTGAAGATTTTTGAAACAAAATTTTTTTTGGCCCCCAATGAGGAGCAAAGCTAGGCAGGGCCTCACACATCCTAGGTGAGTGCTATGCCACTGAGCCATGTCTCTTTTGATTTTTTGTATTTGAAACAGGGTGTTAACAAGTTGCTGAGACTGGCTGAAACTTGCAATCCTCCTGCCTCAGCCTCCCAGATTGCTAGGATTGCTGGCATGCACCACCATGCCTGGTTTGATTTACCTTTGATATGCTTTCTTTGGTAGATTAGGAAAGAGTTTAAAGAGGGACAGGAAAATTTTATAAAATGTACTTCCTACATAGCCTTGCCATAGAGAGCACACCAAGACCCGCAGACCTTTCTACAAGAAATAATGTAAGAGGTGATGGAGAGACATAGGAAGATGACTGTCCTCAGATCAGAGGATGTAAGGACATGGTTTCCAGTTCCCTGAACCACTGAGATTTTTTTGTTGAGATGAACCATACTCACATTACACTTGGTCACATAGAAGTGTTATCCTTCAGAAAGACCCAGCTTGTTTTCCATTTCTTCCTAGTTCTGCTTTGGAACCCATGCAGCTCTCCCTGATAACATGTTCACAGTGTATGAGGAAGGTGGGGCTCTGGGGCTTCCAGCAGATCGAATCATCCATGACTGACCTGGATACATCCTTTGGCCTGACCAACTCTCCAGTCCCAGGCCCTGAAGGTCGTCCAGAGCGCTTCCCTCTGGTGCCTGAATCGCCTCGGAGGATGATGACCAGGAGCCAGGATGCCACATTTTCCCCAGGCTCAGAGCAGGTATTGACTTAACTTGTGTGAGGTGGACATTTTAAAGACATTGTTGCCAAAAGTGTTGGTGGTAGAAAGTGGAAAATTGGTGGGTAGGTTTCACTTCTGGCCATATTGATCAGAGTATTATGTCATTTTTCTGTTCATCAATTGAGAAGCTAAATTTGTTATAGAAATTCAATAAAGAAATATAGTATTCTTAGAAGAGTGTACTTATGTAGGCAATTCAAAAACTAAAAGAATTTTTTTTTTTGGGGGGGGGTGGTATTGGGGATTGAATCCAGGGTGGTAAGTACCCATTGAGCTTTATTCCTAGCCCTTTTGTAAATTTTTTTAAAAATATTTTTTAGTTGTCAATGGTCCTTTATTTATTTATATGTGGTGCTGAGAATCGAACCCAGTGCCTCAAACATGCTAGGCAAGCGTTCTACCACTGAGCCACAAGCCCAGCCCCTTTTTGTAAATTTTGAGACAGGGACTTGCTAAGTTGCTGAGGCTGGCCTTTAATTTACAATCCTCCTGCCTCAGCTACCTAAAAACCTGGGATTACAGGAATGCACTGCTGTGTCTGGCAGAAACTAAATTTTTATTCATTTATTTGTAGTTCCAGAAATTGAATCTAGGAGCACTCTACTGTGGAGCCACATTGCCTTCTGTTTTGTTTTGTTTTGTTTGAGACAGGATTTGACTGAGTTGCTGAAGCTGACCTGGAATTTGTGATTCTCCTGCCTCTGCTTCCCAAGTCACTGAATTGTAGGCTTGTGTCACTGCACGCTGCTCAAAATAATTTTTTATATATATTTATTTTTAGGTGTAGATAGACACAACACAATGCCTTTATTTTTATGTGGTGTTGAGACTCGAACCCAGGTCCTGCCCGTACTAGGCGAGCGCTCTACCGCTGAGCCACAATCCCAGCCCTCCAAATAATTTTTTAGAAATGTTTTGTTTTATTTGTACTGGGGAATTGAACCCAGGGACTCTTTACCACTGAGCTACATCCCCCACCCTACACTCCCTCCTTTTTTTGAGACAGGGTCTCAATTGCTTAGTGCCTTGCTATGTTGCTAAGGCTGGCCTCAAACTTGGAATCCTCCTGCCTCAGTTTCCCATATCACTGGGATTATAGTCATATGTAACCACAGACAGCCTAAATTATTTTCTTTCTTTTTTTTTTAATGTATTTATTTTAATTAGGTACATATGACAGAAGAATGCATTTTGATTCATTGTAAACAATTGCAGCACAACTGTTCATTTCTCTGATTGTACACAATGTAGCTTCACACCAGTCATACATGTGCCTAGGGTAAGGTCCATCACCTTCCACCATCTTTCCTACCCCCATACCCTCTGCTCCCTTCATCCCCTTTGCCCAATCAGAGTTCCTCCATTTTTCCCATGCCCTCCCCCATTATGGATCAGCATCCACTTATCAGACAGAACATTCCCTTTAGATTTTTGGTATTGGCTTACTTCACTTAGCATGATATTCCCCAACTCCATTCGTTTACTTGCAAATGCTGAGTAATATTTTAGTGTGTATGTGTGTGTGTATCACAGTTCATTTATCCATTCATCTCTTAAAGCGCATCTAGGTTGCTTCCACAATTTAGCTATATGCTGATTTTAAGTCCTTTGTGTATATATGAGGAGTGGGTCAAATAGTGGTTCCATTCCAAGTTTTCTGAAAGACTTGCTTTCCAGAGTGGTTGTACCAATTTGCAGTCCCACCGGCAATATATGAGTGTGCCTTTTCCCCTACATCCTCACCAACACTTATTGTTATTTGTATTATTGATAACTGCCATTCTGACTGGCGTGAAGTGAAATCTTAGTTTTAAGTAGTTTTGATTTGCATTTCTGTAATTACTAGAGATGTTGAACATTTTTTCATATATTTGTTGATTGGATGTACATCTTCTGAGAAGTGTCTGTTTAGCTCCTTAGCACATTTATTAATTGGGTTGTTTGTTTTTTTGGTGTTAAGTTTTTTGAGTTCTTTATATATCCTGGAGACTAAATTATTTTCAATGTACCAATTAAAGATTTTCTCTGAAACCTAATATATTTATAATTTAAACTATAAAATACTTGATTTCATATGTTTTAAGAAATACTTCTGGCCATAGTCATCAACGTGATGCATGGACTTTCCTTTATTTCCTCTTCAGGTTGAAAAGAGCCCTAGTCCCATTGTCTCCCAAACCCGGAGCTGGGATTCTTCTAGTCCTGTTGATCGGCCTGAGCCGGAGGCAGCCAGCCCCACCACCAGAACCCAGCCAGTGACTCGAAGCATGGGAACAGGAGACTCTGCTGGCCTGGAAGTACCCTCCAGTCCCCTCCGGAAAGCCAAACGAGCTCGCCTCTGCTCTTCCAGTAGCTCAGTGAGTCCACCTTCTCATGTAGCCATCACTGAGCACATACAGCAGTCTGTGCTCTCACCACGCAGCACTGAGACACAAGCGTGAATCACCCCGGGTCCTCTGGCTAAAGGTAGACTGCGTGAATAGGGTTAAAGATGAAATAGGTGACCAAAGGGAAAAGATTGAAGGGTTTTGTCATTTGTTCCTTTGGGTAGATTCTGGAGAGGTAATAAATATTTGAGGCTAATAGTACAGCAGTGAGGTAGGGGGACAAAGCTGATAAGGTAGTTTGTTTTAACATAAAAGGACTGAAAGGAATGGGCTGGGGTTGTGGCTCAGCAGTAGAGCACTCGCTTAGCACGTGTGAGGCCCTGGGTTTGATCCTCAGCACCACATAAAAATAAATAGAGATATTGTGACCAACTACAACTAAAAAATAAATATTAAAAAAAAGGACTGAAAGGAAAATAAAAAGACAGAATTTAAAAGCATTAAAACTAGAAGTGAGGACAATTATGAGATTTTGGACTTTATGACTAACAATATGCCTATAATAATATTCCTCCCTGAAGAGACATAGCATCTGCCCTTCATTAACACTCTCTCTTCCTCCTCCCTCAGGACACATCTTCCCGGAGCTTCTTTGATCCCACCTCTCAGCACAGAGACTGGTGCCCTTGGGTGAATATCACACTAGGCAAAGAATCTAGGGAGAATGATGGAACAGAGCTTGATGCCAGCACCCCAGCAGAGCCGGGCTGGAAGACAGTGCTGACCATCCTGTTGGCCCACAAACAGTCTAATCAGCCAGCTGAAACAGACTCCATGGTGAGATAAGCTATTGCCCTGCTTGTATGTAGCACTTGCTCTTTATGGGATAAGCAGCAGCAGTTAGTCCTATAATTAGCACCCTGCCTGCCTTCAGCTTTCCTAAGTCTTGTAGACTTATTCTGATTTATCCTAAAAGAAAGGCATGGAAGTGGTCAGTCTTTCTGCGGCTTAGTATATGGCATTCCATCAAATTCTGTTAAGTTCTTTGTTCTCTCAAATAAAATGACTCAAAGTGGAAAAATAATACAGAAACAGAAATAGATGAATAGGCAGCTGCTGTGGCCTCATGTTGCAGCGCAGCTGCTTTCTCCATCAGTTGCTGTCACTTACCTTTGGAACCTGGCCCGATAACTTAGCCTTTGGATCTGTGCTCTGACACCAAGCCAGTTTCTTTACTCCCTGTATCAGTCAGGCATGTGCATTGGACCATCATTAGCCATCACAGTCATGGCTACTGTGGTTAACAAATGTGGGTACATGCAAAGCCATCGTCAAGAATGAGAGTGATGTGTGTCCTTAGTGTCCACCATGATTCCCTAATGGAGTGTTAAGAACTATTTTGTTTTGTTTCCCTTTGCGGACTTACTTTCATATTCACCTAAAAGTTACTGATCTCTACACCCTCCAAGGTCAAAGCAAAGTAATACCTGCCAGCCAGTGTTCCCAAATTCATGGTTTTGTAGGGTCTTAGGAAGCCACTGGAAGGAGCTGCACTGATGCTTTTTTTGGTACTAGAGATCGAACCCAGGGGCACTCTGTCATTGAGCTACATCCCCAGCACTTTTTATTTTTACTTTTTTCTTTTTAAGACCAGGTCTCATTAAGCTGCTGAGTCTGGCTCCCAAGTTGCTGGAATTATGGGAGTATGCTGCCACTCCCAGCTTGTACTGATGCTTAAAGCCCAGCAATGAACAATGTATATTAGTGCCTTTAGAAAATATGTAGATGAATGTGTCCAAGTTTTTGCAGGAAAAAAAAAATCACTTCTCTTCAATTTAAAAACTTTTGGAATTGTGTAAAGCTATTTAAAGAAAAATATTTGCCCAACTATTCAATTTGGAGTTATTAAATCTATATTTGCACATAAGTTCTCTCTACCTAGACCTTTAGGAAGTAATATTTTGGCAGTTTTACTAACAGTTCCCTCTGTTACTGTTATACCAAAAAGAAACCACACAGGGTTAGGTTTTTCATTCGTTTGTAGAAAACGTTGGCCTCATAATTGGCCCTGGATTCTGGGGCTCTTAGAATTCTTTTTAGTAGCATGTCTTTTAATCTTCCCACCAGCTGCTATGACTG